CGATGCAAGCACCAGTTAGCCTCGAGCTAGCCTAGAGCCAGGCCCATATCCCTGCTATCTACCTCTCGGTCTACCGGACGGGAGTAGCCAGCTAACTAGCTACTTGCTATTAGCTACCGTTAGCGGTTTTTCACCATTGTCCGTGGCCTGCACCACCTACTAGCCAGCTCTAGCCTGGACTATTATTCGGCCAGTCTGCACTGTCTGCACAGCGTGTTATCGACCCAGAACATATCAGTTTTTCTGCCGGAATCACTGAATCACTGGACCTTTAACTCCGGATTCATCGCTACCAGCTAGCTGCAACAAATGGACGTTGTGGTTTGGCTAATCATCCTGAGCTAGGCCCATCTCCCGGCTATCTACCTCTCTGTCAACCGGACGGGACCACCTAGTGTTGACACGGAGCCCCGCCGATCCTACACTACTGGTCTGCCGACGAAATCGTCTGATGTGGTTACAACAGGCTTCCCGTTACGACGTCGACCACGAAGATTCCATCTGCTACCCCCACCCGCTAGCACACGCTAGCCGTGGCCTCTTGCTCGCTAGTGCTTTAGCAGCCCCCGAACTACCTCCGAACTATCCTATTGCTGTTCACCGGACCTTATGATAACTCAGCGATACAGCTGATGCCTGCTGGACTGTTCCTTTTTACGGTACCGCATCCTGTTTATGTTTAGCCTCAGCCCAAACTGTGTCGTCATTACCAGCTGTTGCCTTAGCTCTCTCAAATTACACCTGTGATTGCTTTATGCCTCTCTCCCATGTCAATATGGTTTGCTTATTGCTGTTTCGGTTATTTCTAATTGTACTATTTCACTGTAGATCCCCCAGCCCAGCTAAACCTGCCTTAGATAGCTCCTTTGTCCCACCCAACATACACGTGGAGACCGACTCAATCAGTGCCTCCAGTGATGCTATCTCTTTCATTGTTACCCAACACTTAGGTTTATCTCCACTGTACTCATATCCTTCCATATCCTTGTCTGTACATAATGCCCTGAATCTTTTCTACAACGCCCGGAAATCTGCCCCCTTTATTCTATGTACCCAACGCACTAGAAGACCAGTTCTTAAAGCCTTTAGCCGTATCCTTATTCTAGTCCTCCTCTGTTCCTCTGGTGATGTAGAGGCTAACCCAGGCCCTGCAGCCCTCAGTATCACTCCTACTCCCCAGGCGCTATCATTTGTTGACTTCTGCAATCACAAAAGCCTTGGTTTCTTGTATGATAATATCAGAAGTCTAATTCCTAAGTTTGAGTTATTCACTGCGTTAGCACAGTCCGCCAACCCTGATGTACTAGCAGTGTCTGAATCCTGGCTTAGGAAGGCCACCAAATATTCTGAAATTTCCATCCCCAACTATAACATTTTCCGTATACATAGAACTGCCAAAGGGGGTGGAGTTGCAATCTACTGTAGAGATAGCCTGCAGAGCTCTATCATACTATCCAGGTCTGTGCCCAAACAGTTTGAGCTTCTACTTCTAAAAATCCACCTTTCCAGAAATAAGTCTCTCACTGTTGCCGCTTGCTACAGACCCCCCTCAGCCCCCAGCTGTGCCCTGGACACCATATGTGAATTGATTGCCCCCCATTTATCCTCAGAGTTCGTACTGCTTGGTGACCTAAATTGGGATATGCTTAACACCCCGGCCATGCTACAATCCAAACTAGATGCCCTCAATCTCACACAAATTATAAACGAACCTACCAGGTACAACCCTAAATCAGTAAACATGGGTACCCTCATAGATATCATCCTGACTAACTTACCCTCTAAATACACCTCCGCTGTCTTCAACCAGGATCTCAGCGATCACTGCCTTATTGCCTGCGTCCGTAACGGGTCCGTGGTCAAACAACCACCCCTCATCACTGTCAAACGCTCCCTAAAACACTTTAGCGAGCAGACCTTCCTAATTGACATGGCCCAGGTATCCTGGGTGGATATAGATCTCATTCCGTCAGTAGAGGATGCCTGGTTGTTCTTTAAAAGTAATTTCATCTCAATCTAAAATAAACATGCCCCATTCAAAAAATACAGAACTAAGAACAGATATAGCCCCTGGTTCTCCTCAGACTTGACTGCCCTTGACCAGCACAAAAACATCCTGTGGCGTACTGCATTAGCATCAAATAGCCCCCGCGATATGCAACTTTTCAGGGAAGTTAGGAACCAATATACACAAGCAGTCAGGAAAGCAAAGGCTAACTTTTTCAAACAGAAATTTGCATCCTGTAGCACTAACTCCAAAAAGTTTTGGGACACTGTAAAGTCCATGGAGAATAAGAGCACTTCCTCCCAGCTGCCCACTGCACTGAGGCTAGGAAACACTATCACCACCGATAAATCTACAATAATCGAGAACTTCAACAAGCATTTTGCTACGGCTGGCCATGCTTTCCACCTGGCTAACACTACCCCGGCCACCAACTCTGCACCCTCCGCTGCAACTTGCCCATGCCCCCCCCGCTTCTCCTTCACACAAATTCAGACAGCTGATATTCTGAAAGAGCTGCAAAATCTGGACTCTACAAATCAGCTGGGCTAGACAATCTGGACCCTTTCTTTCTAAAACTAGCCGCCGAAATTGTCGCAACCCCTATTACTAGCCTGTTCAACCTCTCTTTTGTAACGTCTGAGATCCCCAGAGATTGGAAAGCTGCCGCGGTCATCCCCCTCTTCAAAGGTTTGACACTCTAGATCCAAACTGTTACAGACCTATATCCATCCTGCCCTGCCTTTCGAAAGTATTTGAAAGCCAAGTTAACAAACAGATCACCGACCATTTCGAATCCCATCGTACCTTCTCCGCTATGCAATCCGGTTTCAGAGCTGGTCATAGGTGCACTTCAGCCACGCTCAAGGTCCTAAACGATATTATAACCGCGATCGATAACAGACAGTACTGTGCAGCCGTCTTCATCGACCTGGCCAAGGCTTTCGACTCTGTCAACCACCGCATTCTTATTGGCAGACTAAATAGCCTTGGTTTCTCAAATGACTGCCTCGCCTGGTTCACCAACTACTTCTCAGATAGAGTTCAATGTGTCAAATCGGAGGGTCTGTTGTCTGGAACCTATGGCAGTCTCTATGTGGGTGCCACAGGGTTCAATTCTTGGGCCGACTCTTTTCTCTGTGTATATCAATGATGTCGCTCTTGCTGCTGGTGACTCTCAGATCCACCTCTACACAGACGACACCATTTTGTATACATCTGGCCCTTCATTGGACACTGTGTTAACAAACCTCCAAACAAGCTTCAATGCCATACAACACTCCTTCAGTAGCCTCCAACTGCTCTTAAACACTAGTCAAACTAAATGCATGCTCTTCAATCGAACGCTGCTGGCACCCGCCCACCCGACTAGAATCACTACTCTCGATGGGTCTGACCTAGAGTATGTGGACAACTACAAATACCTAGGTGTCTGGTTAGACTGTAAACTCTCCTTTCAGACTCACATTAAGCATCTCCAATCAAAAGTTAGATCTAGAATCGGCTTCCTATTTCGCAACAAAGCCTCCTTCACTCATGCTGCCAAACATGCCCTCGTAAAACTGACTATCCTACCGATCCTTGACATCGGCGATGTCATTTACAAAATAGTCTCCAACACTCTACTCAGCAAATTGGATGTAGTCTATCACAGTGCCATCCGTTTTGTCTCCAAAGCCCCATACACTACCCACCACTGTGACCTGTACGCTCTTGTTGGCTGGTCCTCACTACATGTTCGTCGTCAAACCCACTGGCTCCAGGCCATCTATAAATCACTGCTAGGCAAATCCCTGCCTTATCTTAGCTCATTGGTCACCATAGCAGCACCCACCCGTAGTCTGCGCTCCAGCAGGTATATCTCACTGGTCATCCCCAAAGCCAACACCTTGTCACGTTCGTTCATTGACGCGTTCGTTCATTGACGGGACGGACCAAGGCGCAGCGTGATATGCATACATGTTTATTTAAACTTAATAAACACTCGACAAAACAATAAACGAAGTCCAAGGTAGACACAAACAACATACCTTATACGGAACAAGATCCCACAACCCACTAGTGCCAAAAGGCTGCCTAAGTATGGTTCCCAATCAGAGACAACGAGCGACAGCTGCCTCTGATTGGGAACCACACCGGCCAACATAGAACTACACATCCTAGAAAACCCACATAGAATATGCACAAACAAAGAATACACACACCCTGACTCAACATATAAGAGTCCCCTGAGTCAGGGCGTGACACACCTCCTTTGGCCGCCATTCCTTCCAGTTCTCTGCTGCCAATGACTGGAACGAATTGCAAAAATCTCTGAAGCTGGAGACTCTTATCTCCCTCACTAACTTTAAGCATCAGTTGTCAGAGCACCTTACCGATTACTGCACCTGTACACAGCCCATCTGAAATTAGCCCACCCAACTACCTCATCCCTATTTTGTTATTTATTTTGCTCTTTTGCACCCCAGTATCTCTATTTGCACATAATCTCTTGCACATCTAGCATTCCAGTGTAAATACTAATTGTAATTATTTTGCACTTTAGCCTATTTATTGCCTTACCTCCATAACTTGCTACATTTGCACACACTGTATATATATTTTCTGTTGTATTTTTTTACTTTGTTTTTTTACCCCATATGTAACTCTGTGTTGTTGTTTTTATCGCACTGCTTTGCTTTATCTTGGCCAGGTCGCAGTTGTAAATGAGAACTTGTTCTCAACTGGCTTACCTGGTTAAATAAAGGTGAAATAAAAAAAATATATATATATATATATTTGGGAGCATTAAGGACCCTCAGCCTTAGAGGAAACCATCTGAAATTACCTTAACGGTTTAGTCCAGGAGGGTTTGCAAAAACTAGAGATCTTAGATTTGGGAGAAAATGAGCTGTTATATGTCGTTAACAGGTCCTTTAAAAGCTTACAATCACTCAAAACATTGTCTTTATCTAATAATCAAATTCACCTTATTGAAGCTTGGGCCTTTGAGGGAATGGCCAACCTTACAACACTTGATCTAGCATCAAGTGACATCAATCGAGGAGGAATTGCAGACAATGTGTTCACAGGTCTAACAGATTTAAAAACTCTTAATCTCCTGCAATCATATTGGATATTTAACAGATGTTAAAGTAATCCCTCCACCCTTCTCTCACCTGCTATCTCTGGTTAACCTGAAAATCCACAGTCAGGGTTTGTATTATCTACCATCCAACTTTCTTGAAGGTCTGACATCTTTATCATCACTTGGAGCCAGTCATCTTTTTAACAAAGTCCTTTTAAAAATGTCCCTGCATCCAGACACATTCATTTATACACCCAAGTTGGAGTACCTTGACTTCAACAAGATTAACTTTGTCACCCACCCTCCAGAGTTGTTTCACCCAATCCCAAGGCTCAAAAGACTCCACCTGTCCGAATGTCAACTTCAGTCCTTAGATTTCCTCATAGGAGCCAACCTAACTGAAGTAGAATTTTTGCAAGTGAACCAAAATGAGACAGTGATACATACTCTCCCTGCCTTGATTTACCTGGACATGAGAAATAACCCTTTCAGCTGTGACTGCAGCAATGCTTGGTTCATCCAGTGGGTGAAGAAGAACAGCCAGACACAGGTTATTGATGCCCATGAGTTTGTCTGCACATATCCAAAGGATCTTCACGGTACTAAACTGTTAGACCTTGACAGCCACTCCTGTTCAGTAGACATACTGTAGACTTCTTCTACTTTATCTCCACCACTTCTCTGGTCCTCTGCACCCTGTTGGGGTCTTTTATCTACCATTTCCTGAGATGGCAGGTGGTCTATGCCTACTACCTCTTGCTGGCTTATCTCCAAGACACCAAGAGGAGGAACAGTTGTGTGCCTCATCAGTATGATGCCTTTGTCTCCTACAAAACCCATAATGAGCTCTGGGTTCTGAGGGAACAGTCAGTATCTGGTGTGGCAACAAGCTGCATTAAGTACTGTAGTGCATCTCCTCCTCATGGACTGTACCAGATTTGCCAGTTCTTGCTGTGAGATGTTACCCCACTCTTCCACCAAGGCACCTGCAAGTTCCCAGACATTTCTGGGGAGAATGGCCCTAGCCCTCACCCTCCGATCCAACAGGTCCCAGACGTGCTCAATGGGATTGAGATCCGGGCTCTTCGCTGGCCATGGCAGAACACTGACATTCCTGTCTTGCAGGAAATCACGCACAGAACGAGCAGTATGGCTGGTGGCATTGTCATCCTGGAGGGTCATGTCAGGATGAGCCTGCAGGAAGGGTACCACATGAGGGAGGAGAATGTCTTCCCTGTAACGCACAGCGTTGAGATTGCCTGCAATGACAACAAGCTCAGTCCGATGATGCTGTGACAAACCGCCCCAGACCATGACGGACCCTCCACCTCCAAATCGATCCCACTCCAGAGTACAGGCCTCAGTGTAACATTCCTTCCTTCAACGATAAAAACGAATCCGACCATCACCCCTGGTGAGACAAAACCGTCACTCGTCAGTGAAGAGCACTTTTTGCCAGTCCTGTCTGGTCCAGCAACGGTGGGTTTGTGCCTATAGGCGACGTTGTTGCTGGTGATGTCTGGTGAGGACCTGCCTTACAACAGGCCTACAAGCCCTCAGTCCAGCCTCTCTCAGCCTATTGCGGACAGTCTGCATTCAATACCCAGTCGATCACAATTCCCAGTGGGCTAAACTGGTGGCAATAACATAGTTAGGATCTCTTTTATGATATCATGGTCAGGTTGCATACTGGTTGTGTAGGGAAGTTTTTTTAAAAACCAGAAACATTTATTTAACTGGTTGTAATCTGTAATCTGAAAAGGCATGTGTCTGTACATGCAACTTGTATTTACTAAGTATTTATTTGCAATTGTGTTCCACAGGCAAACCCATTATAGACAACATCACAGATGCCATCTACAGGAGCAGAAAGACCATCTGTGTGATCAGCCGTCGTTACCTGGAGAGCGAGTGGTGCTCCAGAGAGATCCAGGTGGTGAGGTGGGTCTAATGTCCTAATCAGACTGGGGTGACTCGAACAGGTATCAAACCCAAGTCTTTTGGAACCTCAAGACTGTTCTCTCTGTACCCTTTGGAGTTAAGAAAGACTACGCCCTCCCCTACACACATACACACTCACCTAATCTAACTACGGTCTCCTCTGGTCTCTCCAGCTTCCGTCTGGAAGGACGTGTTGATGCTGGTCCCAGCCCAGCAGCTCTCTCCATACCACCGCATGAGGAAGCTGCTTCAGGGTGGCTCTGGAGACCAAGGACTGCCCTGCTGAAGAGAACCCCATCCTCACTGGGGTGGAGAGGCCATGATGAAGGCAACCACATCTAATAACCATAATTCTCTTAACAATGTTTCCATTACATACTGTAAATACAAAGAACAATGTTCTATGTGAAGTACATTTAAGAGCGGAAAAAACATGAAATTCAAATGAGCACCATAACCCTAAATTTGACTTATGTACACCAATAGCAGTAGCAGGTGTAACATGTTGTTTGCTGTAAAATCCTGTTATTGTTTCAGTGGCCATGTGGTTAAAGTGTCTGCTCTGAGATTGTAAGGTTGGGGGTTCAATCCCTGGTTAAGTCATACCAAAGACAAGAAATGGTACCCAGTGCCTCTCTGCTTGACATTAAGGAGATGGATTGGGGGTAAGGCCCTGCGATAGATTAGCGTCTTGTCCAGGGGGTGTACATCAAGCTACAGAATCAGGGGATTCCTCTGCCCTATGGGCTGTTCGGGCTTAGACAAGGCTTACATTTTCCAAGGCTTACTTACTTGTTAGCGCATAAGTCAGGGTTATAATATATATAATAATCATTTAATGTTATTATAATATAATATTATACATATTTTTTGACTTAACTTCTTAAAGGGAATTAATTGACCTAACCAGTGTTTATTGCTTAAAGCTGTCACATTTCCTTTTGTTCAATAGTGTTTAATAGTTTTCAGTAGTATAATTATATATACTGAATAAATAAATAAATACTCTATAACTCATAAAAGTGAAAAAATAACTAATAGATATTAGTAATTTCCTTTTTCCTTCTCCCTTGTCATCAGCAGCCTATCAAGGCCTGGTCCAGCTTATAGTATTAGGAATTCCACCCTGGTGTAATTGATGTAAATAACATGGAACCACAGAGTGGGGAACCCAGTCATCCTTGGCAAAGAAACATTTGTCACCATGCATCACAGGACAGACTCCGCTTCCTTTCAAATTAAACTTCATGGTTTACCCTCCGTTTCCTCTCTCCCCCACTATCTCTCTCACTTCTGTTTTTCCTCTCACCACCTCACTATCTCTCTTTCTCTCTTCTCCCATCTCTCTCTGTTTTGATTATGTTTCTTTCTTAATCACTTTTGCACCCCCCCCCCCTTTTTCCCCCCTCCCTCTGTCTCTTGACCTCTCTCTCACCCTCCTCTCACTCCCTCTCCCTTCTTTTCCCCATGGCCGCAGTACATTTATTTGAAACATGCTTTTGCGCATGAGGGGAAAAATGCAAGTGCTAGAGCAGAAATTAAAATTTCATTATTTACTGCACTCGAGCTGCAGAGTGCAATTAGTAGGCTGGAGGGATATGTACAGCTTCTCTCTTTCTACCTCTCTCTATCTCCCTCTCCACCTCAATCTCTTCACTCATGCTATCTCTTTCTACAACGCTCTGTACATGAACACTGTACATTGACGTCAATCACCACCATGTTGGTCACCCCTTTTTCTGTAACTTCCACTACTGGAAACACACAAATGCTCACACTCATGATCTCATGTACACATGCCATAGTAACAGACAGCCTCTCTCTCTATCTCTCTCTCTCTTTTCTGTTCCTATCTTCCTGACAACCCAAACACTGTACAGTCGCTAGACACTAACCTCAAACCACTAGCCTCTTTAGACCCTGGGGACAATAGGACATTATTCAAGTGGAGGCCCATACTTGAAAATAGAGGCGGAGAAATGGGAGGGTAAAAAAAATGTTTTAAATGCAATCATTGTTAGCCCTGAACAATGTCATTTATCAAAGTAGCGTTTTGGACTATATAATACGTTTCGTATATTAATAACATTTTTCATCTCACGCCCGGGACCGAGATTTATGGCCAGCAGGTGAACACAGGTGATCATCGAATTATAACTCTTGTAATGAGAGAGGGTGAAAGAAAGAGGGAGAGAGAAGGAGGAACAGAGAGAAGGAGAAAGAAAGAGAAAAAGGAGGAGAGAAAGAGAGACTGCTTGTCCAGTGTTGACTGCTTCACCAAGCCAATTTACCAAACAACCTTAGGCTTAAATGCTGCCTGCTAATTCAAAGAAAACCCCTCATTGAATGATATCAGAATGAGATACAGCAAAGGGTTATGAAATTACACTGAGTGAACAAAACATTAGGAACACCTTCCTAATATCCCCTTTTTCCGTCAAAACAGCCTCAATTCATCGGGGCATGGACTCTACAAGGTGTCGAAAGCATTCCACAGGGATGCTGGCCCATGTTGACTCCAATGCTTCCTGTATAGTTGTGTCAAGTTGGCTGGTAGTGGATCTCTACTCTGAATAGTTCGTTCCATCTCATACCACAGATGCTCAATTGGATTGAGATCTGGTAACTACAGGACACTGCAGTAAGCTGAATTCACTGTCATGTTCGTGGAACCATTCCTGGACAATCCTAGCCTTGTGGCATGGGGCATTATCCTGCTAAAAAATTCATTTGCAGATGTATACACTGATACCATGAAGGGATGCACCTGATTGGCAATGATGTTCAGATATCCTGTGGCATTCAAACATTACTCCACTGTTATCATGGGGCCTATTGTGTGCCATGAAAACACTTTCCACACCAACACACCACCACCAGCAGCCTGCAATGTTTACACGTATGAAATGGATGCATGTACTCATGTAGTTCTCTCTATACCCTAGTCCTCCAATCAGCATGAAACAGCAGGAACCGGGATTCAGCAGACCAGGCAATGTTTTTCCAAATTCTCCAGTGTCCAGTGTTTTCATTCCTTAGCCCACTGCAACCGCAGTTTCTTGTTTTTTGCTCAAAGAAGTGAAACAAGCCAGCAGCCAAGTCTAAGGGTAGAACTAGAAAATTCTAGCCCCTTGGGTGCCGCCATAGAGTTACATTAGAAGTGCCCATCCAAGAAGGCTCAAGGTAATTTGCTACAGATAAAATGACGTCAAATCACGTTATATGTAAAGTAGCTTTGATTGGACTGATCATGTCAACATCATACTTTCAAAATCTTAGCTAGCAGTCATCATCATGAATCAAGTCGACAATCTACTGGCAAATCCTTTTTAATCCTTGTCATATGAAGAGAAATTATAGATAAAACGTGTCGGTGCTCATCGGCCATTGGACATAAACATTACACAAGTTGGAAATCGCAAATTCAACAATTAGTGGTTTGGAAGGAATCGGTGACAGTGGCTAACTGCAAGCATTTCAAAGCAATCACTAGCCTGCTATTCAGTGGAGTGGCTGTGTGGTCCCAAATCTGGGATAAAGCGTCTCTTTTCCAAGCTTAAAATGATAAACATTCAACATTGGCCATGCTGTCAATGAAGTATGATTTGTGCCTCGCTCAAAACAACTGTTAACTCGGAACTGCGAAAACTTGACTTCAGTGAGTTCAAGACAACTGGGAAGTCGGGAATAAACGAGCTCGACTGGGAAAATAAGTTTTGAACGGTCATCCAACTCGGAATTGTAAATCCGGCCTCTTTCTCTTTCTTTGATGACAAAATTTGCCCACGAAGGACCGCCACGCCACCTTCCTGTTCAATTGAGCACAGTACAACAAGGTGAGTCCAAAAATGTATTGCATGCTGCTGCATAAATGATGTAATATGCCAGGAAAATATGTATACTGTAGCTAAGAAAGTAATACTAAGTGTATGTTATGTAGTAAGATGTTAGTAGCCCATGTGCCTCACCCTAATAATTTGGTCTATTTACCCCTCTTAATTTCGCCTACTGTTCTGACTTGGTGGTGCATATGTAGCCTATAACCTGTTTTAGAGAAATGTAATCATCGAATATTGTAAGAGCTTTCATTGTCTGCTTATATGCCCCCTTTATTTATCCTACGGTTCTGACTTGGTGTACAGGGAGAATACTGTAAGAACGGCCCATGTTCTGAATTCTGTCGCTGTACATTTCAAAAGTGCTAAACAAATAGTATATTGACTACGTCCCTCCTAGCTCGCTCATGAATGTCTTATAGTTATAATCGAAATTACAGATTGCCTCTTATCCGTTTGTCGTTGTCACGATCGTCTGAAGGAGGAGACCAATGCGCAGCGTTGCAAAGTGAACATGATTTATTAAATAACGTACTCACGAAAACAAAACAAAAGACGATACGTGAAGTCCTCAAGTTACAAAAATACTGACACACGGAACATGTAACCAGGAAACAATAACCCACAAAACACAGGAGAAAACACACAGAATATATATGGCTCCCAATCAGAGATAACGAGCCGACAGCTGACACTCGTTACCTCCGATTGGGAGTCATTAACCAATCACCAAAAACACAAACCAATGAAACTCACCCAACCCAACACCACCAAATGAAATACACCCTGGCTCTAACACACAGTCCCGGAGCCAGAGTGTGACAGTACCCCCCCCTAAAGGTGCGCACTCCGGGCGCACCAGCATACAGTCTAGGGGAGGGTCTGGGTGGGCGTCTGTCCCCGGTGGCGGCTCTGGCCCCGGTCGTGATCCCCACCCCACCGCAGTCACCACCTGCTTCGGTAGCCTCCTCCCAATGACCACCCTCCAACTAACCCCACCTGGACTAAGGGGCAACACCGGACTAAGGGGCAGCATCGGACTAAGGGGCAGTACCGGACTAAGGGGCAGCACCGGACTAAGGGGCAGCACCGGACTAAGGGGCAGCACCAGACTAAGGGGCAGCACCTGACTCAATGGCGGATCCTGGCTGGTTGGCTCTGGCGGATCCTGGCTGGACGGCTCTGGCGGATCCTGGCTGAACGGCTCATGGCTGGCTGAAGGATCTGGCTGCTCATGGCTGGCTGACGGATCTGGCTGCTCATGGCTGGCTGACGGATCTGGCTGCTCATGGCTGGCTGACGGATCTGGCTGCTCATGGCTGGCCGACGGATCTGGCTGATCCGGTCTGGCCGAAGGCTCTGGCTGATCCTGTCTGGCGGAAGGCTCTGGCTGATCCGGTCTGGCGGAAGGCTCTGGCTGATCCGGTCTGGCGGAAGGCTCTGGCTGATCCTGTCTGGCCGAAGGCTCTGGCTGATCCTGTCTGGCGGAAGGCTCTGGCTGATCCT